AGCTAGAGTGGAGACTAGGTTAGGGTTGGGCTAGGGTTGGGTGTAAGCAGAGAGTTAGGGCTAATTTTAGGGCTAAGGATAGGGCTAAGTGTTAGGGCTAAGGTGAGGGCTAAGTGTAGGGCTAAGTGTAGGGCTAAGGTGAGGGCCAAGTGTAGGGCTATAGGGCTAAGGTTATGGCTAAGTGTAGTGGCAGCAGAGCTGACGACTGGACAAGACAGATCAGGAATCAATGACAATGTACAAGCACCGTCTAGGGTTGAAGACAATAATTTATGACAAGCACACACACAACAGGAAACAAGGAATCGATACCAATAATGGACACCGCCCCCTCCCCCATCCTCTTTAAAAAAATTATGATTCTACAGATCATAAAACATGTTTGATAAAATTAATTTTTTTAGTGTTGCAATTAACGAGAAGGTTTGAAGATGGGGGCAGAATTTGATATTTATTACGCTCCGAGGCAAGATGGCCGCTGGTACGTCATAAAAGTATTAGATATTTGATTCTTATATTCTAGAAACATTATTTAAGAAGCCTTGAGGCTAAATTCTATATACACGTATATTTACAGCTATAATGGCTATATCGTGCTAAAAGTGTTAATTATCTGAAAACCATTGTCAGGTCTATATTAGAGCTTTATAACCATAATTTCCCCGATACGACGAATCTAGATCTAGATCTACTGAGTAAACAAGTGATGTCGCGTCACCAACTTGTGACTGGGGATTCGATCCTACTAGGGTAGAGCGAGACGGCGGATCTATTCCAGAAATGTCTACACGTTAGGAACCTCAACACCCGCAAGAAACCATAGCAAAGTTAACACGCTATTTCATTACTCGTCGCAGTTTTAATAGATTAAAAAGTTTTTTTTTTTAAACACAGCACTCTTTTGAAATTCACCGTCCATGGAAAAGGTGAAGTAGAGTTTACCTGTTTCAGTAATTTTGGGTTAAGAAAGGTCAGCACTTTGTCCAGCCGCCTAACGTTAGTCAGGTACTCAGCAGAGCTGGGTAGGCTCAGTGACGACTTACGGGCTCGAGTTAACAGAACAAAGTTTAAAATAATTAGCTAATTAAAATGTAATCAGCCTCAAGTATCAAGTATCATAACTAAGAATAAGACACATACACACGCACACACAATATATATATATATATATATATATATATATATATATATATATATATATATATATATATATATATATATATATATATATATATATATATAACGGTACAATCACGTGCCCATCTCCGCTCCCAAGACACCAGTTTGTACTCACAGAGCTGCCAAGGGCACAACAAATTAATTAACTGAAAATTAACACTAAAAATCAGGTGTCACAACAGCGCTTAAGGCTCTTCAAATGGATAAAAGATTATAGCTCGTGTTTCGACAAAAAGCCTCCGTCAGTAAAAAAAAATAGTTTTGTCTCACGTTGGAAACACAATAATATTAAAAGTAACTGTAGGGTGTTTAACGTAATTAAAATTATGTAAAAATAGTTGTAAAACTCTAGATCAAATATTAATATTTGTTTCGCGATAAACATTTTTCATATGAAATAGTGCATCGAAACATAATTAATTTTATACAACCAAAACTAATTAATTAAAGAAGGTGAAAAAATTAATTAGATAACAAAACAGCTTCTCGGGCGTATTCCAAAAAATGATGTCAACTAATTTGTATATGATCTACGTACCTCGTCATGTCCCACGTCACACATTGCTTATATATATATATATATATATATATATATATATATATATATATATATATATATATATATATATATATATATATATATATACTAGCCGTCCCGGCCAGGCCCTGCTCTGGCTTCTGTGAAAAACCTTTCTGTTAAAGACCATTACCTGTGTGTTTAGTAATCATCATAAACCCGGCATTGCCCACCCAAACCACAACCAACCAAAACAACAAAACGCAAACAAAACGCTAACACAATTACAAATACAAACGAAAACAAAAACCTAACAACAAATCCAACCACAACCACAAACACCAATACAAACACAAAGAAAAAACAAACAAAAAAGCAAACGAAAACAAAAACCTAACAACAAACCCAACCACAAACACCAATACCAACAAAAAAAAAAAAAAAACAACGAAAAAGCAAATGAAAACAAACCAAATCCAAACGCAAAACCAACCAAAAACACAAATACAAACCCAAACAAAAAAACACAAACAAAAACGAAAAAAGAAAGAACAAAAACGAACCAAATCAAAACGCAACCACTAACGCAAACCCACCTAAACACAAAGAAAACACTAACGCGAACATAAACGCCCGGGGCGGAATCACCTGTTTTAGCTTAATGAACGACTATAGTACCCCAACTTATTCACAGTCTTTTGCACTCACTTAAACGAACGCGCCCGTTTCAATTTAATGAACAATTTTAATATTCCAAGCTTATCCGTAAAATACCTACAACATTTGCACTTGATCAATCCCCGCTAATTATGTAATTATTTTTTTTCCCAACACCAAAACAAAGTAATAAAAAGTAAATTATTTTCCCCTAATGCAATGGTTTTATAAAGGGAAGTAATTGTGTTTTCCTAATTTATCAAAGGGAAGTAAGTGCTATAGGACTAAATAAAGACATAATTAGAATTTTTGTAAAAGATGATATTTTTTTAAAACTGGTGTTGAAAGAACATGCCGACAATTATTACTATAATTTGAAAAATGAAAATTATTTCCCAACACTTTCAATAGTAATTTTTTAACTCATAAATTTAGACAAATGCGCACGATAATATTATAACACTTAAATCCATGCAAGACCAACGACAAACATATGCATTACATACAGAACTGAGCTTTATATATTAGATATATATATATATATATATATATATATATATATATATATATATATATATATATATATATATATATATATATATATATATATATATATGGGTGTATGACTTCACATACGCAGATGTTTGGGTCTACAATTACGTATATTAGTATTGGGGAAACACGAATGCTTACCCCACTGTGTAACTTTTGAATGTAAATTACAATTTATACGAGAGGGCACAAGGTGTACAAAGTGTACACACACACGATTTTCATCACAATGCGATGTGAATGTTAATCTGCCTTATTTCACTGTGTGCAAAAACAAGAACCCCCCCCTCCCCCCTCTCCCCTCCCCTGGAAATCTCAGGTGGTGATAAACCGACCCAGTGGGTCCTTGAGTCAACTCAGTTTTTTAGGGTACCGAGCATCATTTTACCCAGGCATTCTAGCACTGGCGTGTATGCTAGTGAACCCAGCTGTATCGGGTACCCTTATCCACCCATCTCTATCGGGTACCCAATCCAACCAAACTCTATCGGGTACCCTAATACACACATGGGGCGGATAAAGTCGAGTTTCAAATAACTCAGAATACAAGGGGATAATGTTGTCAAACACTATGCCTCGGTTTCCCTAATGTAAGGTACCTATCAGAGCTGGGTGGACTCAGGGACAACTACTTATTTGAACCCGGATTCGAACTCTAGACCGGTTGAGCGCTCTACCGCTCTACCGTTAGGCTCTACCGCTCTACCGCTAGTCCACGCCGCCCCTTATGATACGGTGTCACAGTGGTGAAACACCAGACATCAGAACTACCACACCTGTCACAACGCCGACAAAATAAACCGACTTGATGACAGCCTTCAAATTAAACAGCTAAAATATTTTTGTCTAATTTAAAGAAAAACATCTGTATAGAATTACACTAAAACAAAAAGGGAAAAAAAAAATTATCTAAAATTAAAATGATATGAACGATAAAACTAATCCGTGTAAATATATGTGACATTTGTGATGGTCGCTAATTTGTTATCGATTAGTTGTAAAAGAATTAGACGCCTTTCAGACAATGCGCGGAGACAGTTATAAATAACTAAACAGAATAAATCTCTAATTACAGATGGAAATCAGGGAAACCTAGCATAAATTTGTAATAGCACTCGAATATACGTGTAATGATACATCATACTTATATAAGCCGTGTAATGATACATCATACTTATATAAGCCTCTACTCTAAAACCAGACTGTTCTAACTACATATTTATTTCTTTTAAAGATAATATAATATTATATATATATATATATATATATATATATATATATATATATATATATATATATATATATATATATATATATATATAATTTATAAATATATAGTTTTATACACTTCGGTTGATGAAACTGCGCCATCTAAAAGATGTATGAAGGAATGTTGGAATTTTTGTTGGTAGTTATGAATTCTTTGATAATTTTGAATATTTCAAATCAAATAAATGAAAATGAATTTAAAAAATCATTTTAAAAAATCCCTTTGCTAATATTGGATTGCGTTAGATTAGGTTTATGTTACTGTACTAGTCTAATTGTTAAACTTCATTTAAATTCAAAGGTCAGAGAATAAACAATTGTTGTTTGTAGTTTAACAAAATTAAAGTCATATCTGGATTTAGAAAGAGGTTGGAGGGGGGGGGGGTTAGTTATGGGCGATACGTGTAATTTTCAAGGTTAGCCAACTATTTTAGTTTTAATAAGTTCAAATTTCTTTAATTTTCCGCGATCACATAATACTTTTAATATCTCAGCTTTAATGAGTTTTCATCATTTTGAGTTGTCTCCCCTACGCTGTTTCCTATATGAAAGGGAGACAAGTTTTGTTTTAGTTTTTAGCTTTTTTACACGCAAAATTCGGTGTATATTTTCAGGAAATATTTGCAATTGTTTAAAGTACATGGTTTTAGTACAAAATTCCGTATTTTTTAAAAATTGGTGTTGCTGTAAAATGTATTATACAATTTGAAATTATAGTTTTTTAACAACTTGAAGATTAAAGATTAGTACGACTTTTGTAACTTGTTTAAAACATTTTTACAATGAAAATGTAATTAAAAGAGAAAAAAAAAAGTTTAACACTTACTTTTCAATTTACAAAACCGCAGATTTCATTTCCTTTGTTTTCCTTTTTTTATTTTTAAACAGACTTAGCCACTGGTTAAATATATTTTTTAAAAAATCCTTAATTCTCCAAACAATGAAACATGTTTAGCCTAACCTCTGCCGTGTTCGAAAGCTGTCTATGCTAGCGTGGCCCCTGGCTGAGACACTCTTTTAACACTCACGACATAACGATTCCGGCATTTATCGCCCACCCCTCGACGTCGCCGGCTCGATGTTCGCCGAGAGAAATTTTTTTTCCGGCTCAAGCAAATGTTGAACGGGGATTTTTTTTTCTCCACCCTTGATATTTTTTTTATTTTTATTTTGAAAGCCGTGGCTATCGCTTGTGTTGTGCAGTGCCCAGGAAATATTCGGCTCATTTCAGATACCTCACACATCCCCCCCCTCCCCCGCTGAGGTGTGGGGGACATTCAATGGAGGGCCGAATTAAAACAATTATTATTTTTTTTGGCGCGGCGTTAACTCAGCTCACGGAGTTCACTTAGCTCATGGTCGGTGAGCTTAAGCGTGTTCAGCTACAGAAATTAGCGGATAATATTCACGGGGTTTTAGTTTTAATTAAAAGATGTTTACGGTCACTGCGCTCGCCCATACATGACGTCACCGATTATTTAAACCACCAAAGCTTCGTCACACGTCGTCACAAAAAGTCAACGTCATTCATCGGATATGACGTCACAATTTTCCACGCTAGTCAACACTTAAAACAGTTTTTTAAAATATCATTTAGTTAACGAATTGAAGTAACTAGCTGTAAAAAATTTCTTATTGTTTTACTTTGACGTTGTGTGCACATTGTTTACTGCGTGACGTTCACGTCGTCACAAAAGTCACGAGAAATAATTTTAAATGTCACGTGACCGTCAATCAATTCTCAAATTTAAACTGGCAGGAGATACGACTAAACCAAGTACAAAATTTATTTTTTTAATTACTCCAATTTTATTTTCATGCAGTAGAAGAAACACACCCTTCTGCTGTAAACGTATACATTTTTACAAAAATGTAAATTGTACGTAAAGGTCATATTATGTATCATAGCCCACCCACACATATTTTTTTTATTATTTATAGCTTTCAGCATGCCTCGCTAACAACTATCTGGCCAGTATGGTTAATCGGGTTTTGTTTTTATTTTGCCAGGTTGCTGTTTGTGGTCCGCAAATCTAAGATGGCTTGTCATTGGTGGTGCGATGTGCTGCTTCTGCACCAGCGGTCGATTAAATAGCGACACAGTGGCTGTGTATAGGACTTCTTGTTAGATGTATGTGATGCCACAGGATTCGGTCTGCCCAAGATTACTAGCTAGACAGTCACCAGTGTTTCTTCTAGACTTTTTTCTTCGGGGGGGGGGGGGGGGCACTGGAATTATTGTTTTCTTAGGGTATACTACAATTTTCGGGGAGGGGGGGGGGGGGTGGGGGCGGACACTGTTAAAAGTTTGTATTTTTTGTTTGAATTCCATTTCGTTCAGTGTTGGGGGGAGGGGGATAGACTCTCTTCGCCGCCCGTCCCCCCGTCCCCCCGAAGTGATGCCTGAAAGAAACACTGACGTTCAAATTGTATAATGTTGGGTAAGACTTCGGAAAATAATAGTTTTGAGCATCCCTTTACACACAAACAATCTTATGTTAAATATCGTTCATCGGGTTTTTTGGTTGATATTGGGAAACAACGTAGTAAAAACAAGCACTCATTTAATATTCGTAACTCTAAACATGTATTCTATTGTAATGTTTCATTACAAAAATGAAAAAAAGTTTAATACGTTAAAATGATTTCCAATATGTATTATTGAATTAGTACATATTGGAAGTCAGTTTTTAAAGGTTTATTAACGCATTGTGGACGTTCACGTCGGGGGTGGGGGGGGGGGGGGGGTATCAGTAGCGGAGGAGTACACATCGGGGAAGGGAAGTTATAATTTCCTGTTTGTTCCACGTATAGCATGTATGAATAACCCCTAATTTGAATAGAATGAGAAACTACACCACAGCCATGAACCATCCTATAATCCATGGAACTACACCACAGCTAGGAACCATCCCATAATTTATGGAACTACTCCACAGCTAGGAACCATCCCATAATCCATGGAACTTCCCACAGCTAGGAACCATCCCATATTTATGGAACTACTCCACAGCTAGGTACCATCCCATAATCCATGGAACTTCCCACAGCTAGGAACCATCCCATAATCCATGGAACTTCCCACAGCTAGGAACCATCCCATAATCCATGGAACTTCCCACAGCTAGGAACCATCCCATAATCCATGGAACTTCTCCCCATCTAAAACCCTAACCAATGACGTTATATTTTCTCATTCTCATGTCTTCAGTTTCACCCAGCAGCCTCTGATTTGTTTAACCCTTTCTTCCCCACCCTGTTTACCGCTAATCTGTTTAACCCTTTCTTCCCCACCCTATTTACCGCTAATCTGTTTAACCCTTTCTTCCCCACCCTGTTTACCGCTAATCTGTTTAACCCTTTCTTCCCCACCCTGTTTACCGCTAATCTGTTTAACCCTTTCTTCCCCACCCTATTTACCGCTAATCTGTTTAACCCTTTCTTCCCCGTACTGTTTACTGCTAATCTCTTTAACCCTTTCCTACCTATCCTGTTAATTGGCCTACGTGTTACTGCGACGGTTCCTGTTCATTCACTCACCATGCCCAGGGCACCCTGCCCTCGATGATTAAACTATTTTGCGAACTGAATTTTTACAAACATCGTAATTTTACAAGACTAAAAACGGAATTAAAATTTACGCAAAGATTTTAAAAGCGGACATTGGCCGACACCTCATTAACGTCTCTTTTCCTCCGTGTTCACCTTTAATTAATATTTTGATGGCCAGTCCCCCCCCCCCCCCCCCCACACACACACAAACTCCCTATTTTCGAATAACAACTTTAAGAAACTAACCCACAACCAACACTTAAGATCTAAGGTTTACTTGAAGCAAAGTTATATATATATATATATATATATATATATATATATATATATATATATATATATATATATATATATATATATATATATATATATATTCTAGATTAACACGTGGGAAGTTATACAAACTTATTCTATCAATGGAATAGGGCAGGGGTTCCCAACCTTTTTTTACTCTAGAGCACATTCTAAAATATCGGTAGGGTGGCGGGCACCACCTATTTTAAATCGACAAACTCCTTCCAGAGGCGTAGCGACCCTTCCCGTCACCCGGGGACAAACTTTCGATTTGCACCCCCCCCCCTCAAACATTCGATTTGCACCCCCCTAAAATTTGCGATTTGCACCCCCCCCCCCTCAAATTTTCGATTTGCACCCCCCCCTCAAACTTTCGATATGCACCCCCCTCAAATTTTCGATTTGCACCCCCCCCCCCCCACCCTCAAACTTTCGATTTCCATCCCCTTCAACCTTTCAATAATGTTTATGAAAAAATTCTGTCTCTGTCGAATAGTGAGAGGCGGGCACAAACGAATCGTTCGGCGGGCGCCATGGCGCCCGCGGGCACGGGGTTGGGAACCCCTGGAATAGGGTAATGGGCCATTGTCTATATACATTGTTTGTAAACGAGGTGATATCAAGATAACGATATGAATAAATAAATCGCTTCACTGTTCCTTAACTGGCGTTTCAAGTTTACCTCTTTAATGATTTTTATATTGCAAGTTAACTAATGCTAAGAAAGATTTGTGAAAGGGGGGGGGCAACATAGGAAAGGGGAGGGGGGAATAAAACCTAATCAAACAGGGTTCGAGAGGAGACGCACCAAAATATGGCAGCAATAAATCTTAAGCCGTCAAACGCACGGATTTCATTAGGGAATTATTTCAGTCAGTTCACGGCGCTGAAGTTATGCGTGTGCATAATCCTAATCTAAAGCTTAACATGAATATTGATTGACCAATTAATTGTGTTGTTCTTTTACGCTTGATTTAGTGAAAACACTCAGACGTACGGCGTTATGTCTAAAATTGGTGACATATTTCCCATTGATTTGAAGAGTTGGAACTTAGCGACACCTGTTGACTGGAGATTGTTGCTGGCAAGGTGTATGTGTGTATGTATGTGGTGTTTGTGTGTCTGCGTGTGTGTATGTGTGTTTGTGTGTGTATGTCTATGTCTGTGGTGTTTGTGTGTTTGCGTGTGTGAATATGTGTATGTCTGTTTGTGTGTGTCATGGGGGTAGGGTAGTTGGGGGAGGGATGGGGGATCTAGTAGCCCAGACTAGGTGCCTCCAATAGGTTGATCAGAACACACGTGTCCAGTAGATGCTCAAAGTAGACATTGCCGCGACATTACTAGGGGGACAAATCGACATTGCCGCGACATTACTAGGGGGACAAATCGATATTGCCGCGACATTACTAGGGGGACAAATCGACATTGCCGCGCCATACTAGGGGGACAAATCGACATTGCCGCGCCATACTAGGGACACAAATCGACATTGCCGCGCCATACTAGGGACACAAATCGACATTGCCGCGACATTACTAGGGGGACAAATCGATATTGCCGCCATATGACCAAGCAACCAATAGCCAGGTTAAACCAGTTAGCCGGCTAACTCCCTCTTTCAATTAACCCCAGACTAACAACGCAGGCTATTTTAACCTCAGGGGCAGATGTATTGCGAGTACAACACGAAATTAACGCTGTGACTCCAACGGTTCTCAAGATTTTCAACACAGGGTCCAAATTTATCAATTTGAGTATCCCTGTTCATATCCCGCCTCACGGCTCCGGTAGCGACATTTGTGACTAAATTGACGTTCTCTGTTATATTTCCGCTCCCAGAATGCCAGAGTTTGACTGTCCTATGTTGTTTCATACACGGACTTGGGGGGCATGGCTGGCAGATAATTGGACGCGTCCGATTCATGGGGACGGGGGTCAGAGAAAGAAAACTTAGTTTGCGAGAGTTCGATTTCGACCTGATGTCGCCGGAGTGGTGATGACTCCCCCCTCTCCCTCCCCCACCCTACCCCATCCCTTTAGACGTGGATTGATGATTTGTAAAGGAATATGTTTGCGTATGTTTGTTGTCTAGAAATGAGGGTGGTGTTTAAAGGGGGAGGTGGGCGGGGCTGATATGGTTCAGTTGGTGTGAAGTTTTGATGAAGATGAGGGCAAATTTAAATTTTACGTG